CACTCATCACTTCACTTCCATTTAAAGCCAATTTTCATGGTTTAAGAGATGATTATGCATAGCCATAAAAATGAGCATTTGAACACTGCCACAACTTTAAATGGGAAAATAAACTTGCTCAAACTTTGCTTATCAGAAACACAACAAGATTCAACAATCATACCACACATTGCCAAATATGCATGAAAATGTACCAAACTACATAGATTCAGAATTCAGTGAATTAAATGAAGACAAACAGTTGCAATGACTCTAAGACATCCTAAAACACTTGATATAACTGCAGAGAATCAACTGGAAGAATTAAACCCTAAGGCACAAGAAATGATATGAAACACGGTTGAAAGATTGATCAAAAAAGCAATATAGCACCTTTGTTCATGATTTATTACCAACTTAACTATGGTTTTTGCATTTGTGATTAATACAGGTTTCTATTAATTGGAACTGTTTAATATCATTATACAAACTTGCACATTACTTAATAACAACACAGTTACACTGGAACAGATTTATGAGATTGCACCAGATTTATTCTATTGTGTGCAGAATTTTTGAAATAGAATCATGTTTTAACGATGTAGCACATATAATCAAGGCTACACATTGTCTCGTTCCCTTATATCATTCATAAATGACTACCAATGCACTGCAGCTAGAGAAAAATCACACCTTAGCTGGAAAAAATATTCTGCACTACAAAAATCCTAGTTTGGTGTTTGATACTAAAAAACATATGCAGTGATTTAAACACACAACTGAATATTCAAATAAGTTTATTGATGATTTAATTGTCTTTAACGCCTACAATGAGTTATAAACAGCCTGCAACTCAAAATCACTACTCCACTTGTATTTTAACTCAAAAGTGATGTTTTTACGTATTAAATGTCCTCGCAATGTCCACTTCGAGTTTGATCATGCTTAGTTGTTGTTTTCAAATTAGTTTAGTGTATTTACACTTTCTACAGTCATTACATTGACAGCTAGCTGTTTCAATCATTATAACTTAGAATGAGTTGTGTGTTGTTTAATTTGCTACATTAGTGTAGTGTATTTACACTTTTATATGCTAATAAATATAAGACAGATAAACTATCATATCAAGCTAACTATTTCTGTTTACTATTGCAGAGCTTATTATATCCTAACAATTTAGTGTAATTTACGCTGATATGTTCAAATTAACCCTAAGTAAATTTTTACATTCTCAATCATAGAAAGTGAGATCATGGTTTTCCACCCTTTAAAAAATAATAACTGAAACATATTTGATTAAGAAAAAACATAACATAATGTACACCTTTCTAGCATATTACACTCACTCAGTGGAAAATCGCTCTTTGCTCTAACTCAGGATCTTATTAAATGCATATGATTTATTGTTTCATTTTCTATGTCAACTTGCAGTGTGTTGTTTTAATATTTTCACACTGTTCATGAAAACTCGTTTTATTCTGTGCAAACCTTCATATTTTAAAGATCAACATTTTTATATATAAATATTTTCTCTTATATTTTATAGCAAAAGATGTTATGCTCTTTAGACCTTGAATTTTCTTCATAAATATTAAGCAGGTTCAGCTTTGGCACCAAATATTCCAGCACTGTACGAGCTTCATTTTGTGTGTTCCCAGAGGGGGTGTTCTTTCTGCACTGAAACTCAATTGATGTGACAGTATTGGCTCTGATATTGGAACATTAGAGCCATGCAAATATGTTGTGGACTACCACTTAATTCATTCTGTCTCAGGCGTTTGAAATTCTCTCCCAGAGAAAATGCAAGCCACCCCATATTGTTCTAATGCCATGTTATGACCAAGAAACCATCTTTCTCAGTAAGAATCCCCCCAGGTACCTTAAACTACAATGTCTTCTTGGCACTCGACAAATGATTTTGAGCCTTTAAAACCAAGCAATGAATGCAATCCGATATCAGTGAACTACACCTCAGCATGAGTGGTATGGTGGGCGCCAGGAGGCGCCCATTCTTCATGTAGGGTGATCAGCTAGTGGATTTAGATCAAACGATTAAACGGATTGCTCGTATATAAGTGGTGTCTACTATTGATTTTTATGGAGGTTGGACTTAACTTAGACCTAAAATTTTTAACCTACAAGTCCTACTAAATACCTTTAAACCATTCAATCAATATCAAGGTTCACTTCGTAGTTGAAGTTTTGCCTACTTAGAGCACACAGTTGCCCCTTAGAAGCAAAGGCAACAGACCAATAACTACACAAATCAAACAACATCATACACTGCCACAAGAACATCAACCAAATTCAACAACATTGTTTACTCCATGAATTTTTAAACGCACAACTTACCTCAACCAAGAAAGCCGTAGACGTTGGCAACCTTTGTACAGCACGAGAGCCAAACAGCCCACAACGACCCCTCCAACCCCCTTAACCAAGTTCCTTCAAGTTCTGAGCACACCCCCTGAGGTCACCACAACACCGTCGTGACGCCGCTACACCACCTTCCAAAAACCCCCTCGGAATAATGTTTTCCCTCAACCACCACCCCCCTCACCAGCACTATCCTAACGTGGACCAACAATTGCAGGAAAACAGGGTTAATTTTTGTTATGTATTAGATATTTAGATATTTATTACATAAAATATCTTAATATTTAGACGTTAAGTAAACTAACCACATTTTCAGGTAAGGTGGTTAATTTTATTTTGGCTTATAAATACAATGACAGGGCAAAGTTCCAGGTACGTTCTCTTTATGCTCTAGAGACCCTAGACAGTTCAATCATCACTCTCTTGAGAGCTGAGGCTCCATATTCACATCTGACTTGAGCGTCGGAGTATCTTTGCAGGTACCTTCCCCTCCTTTGGCGAGTATAACAACAATGATTGGAGAAAAGCACGCGTCCCAGACAACAGCAAGCACCCAGACAGCCAAGAGCAACAAAGACACACAGGAAAATGTACACTGAAACATTTGATAGTTAGAACGACAGAGAGAACGCTTGGGGGTTCTGAGGTGAGAGACGAAAAATTGGGGGAAAGCTTCTGTGGAACCTAAAATTTGGAGAATGGGAGAGGGAAATCCCAAATTTTCATTTCACTAGGTCGATGCCTATTCCGACGGCTTACGGAGCCTTCGGTAAATTCAACAAACCTTCGGTAATGAACAACATACATGACCGTCGGTACATCCTTCGGTAAACAAAATTTACCGAAGGGCACAAAGGTCGTCGCTAATATCCCTTCGGAAATTACCACTTTTCTTGTAGTGAATCTATTTTTGGTTCTTTGCTTTCCTTGTAGGTTTCGAAATCTCTAGAGGAGGAAGAACATGGAAGCGGTGGCGCGATTCTGAGAAGTGGTTTCTTGCAGGGTTTGCGTCATGATCTATGGAGAAGAAGTTCTTGGTGGTTCCGACGCTTCTGGCTTTTCTGGATCTACAAGTGAAGGTGGCATGATGTAGGCTGATGCGAATCTGGGTTGTGGCGGTGATGGAGGAGAAGACTCGCGATTTCAGGGAGAGTGGTGGTTTGGTTTTTTGTTTTTTGCGTTTTCTGGATTTTGGGAATTACAGGTGAAAGAAGGAGATCGCGAGAGGAGATTTGCGGTGGTGCTCTGGATGCTGTTTGGGTTTTTCTAGGTTGGGTTTTTACTGGTAATATCAGCAAAGTCTAAGTCTATTAGATTCTTCTCAGATATCAATCTCCTTTCTTCTTCTGGCAATAAGATTCTTCAACCGCGTGTTCCTTTCCAGCTCTAAATTTCCCAGATCCATGAGGTTCTTTTGGTCATCCTCTGTCCTTTTAATGACAAATTTACTTTCATCTTCTTTGCCACCTGTAGCTTCTTCTTCCTCTTCTATGAACCCTAAATCCTATTTTAGAAATTCATATTATTAAAATTTAAAAAGTTGCTAAATTCCACGCATTCAACTCTCAGTATGCTACATTTTAAAATTTTGACACATCAATCTTCCACCTATGCAAAAACTTAACCCCGTTAACTAAATTTAACGGTAGGGGCTCAATTGATTTAAATTAGCACTTATAAGGACTCAATTAGGGATTCTAATAAGAAGGTGATCAAACTGGGAAAAACCCACATAAATAGGGACAACTAAAGGGTTTAAACCAACTTATAATTGATTCTTATCCTATTTTTTTTTTCTTTTTCTTTTTACCTATTTTTTTTATTTTTTTTATTTTAACTTACATAGTTCCAGTAAGCATTGCAAACAAGTGAGGAATAAGAAATTCTGTTTCTTTGAGATGAGGTACAAAATAGTAGAAGAGGAAATAAAGAAACATGATAATAAAGTAAAATGAAACGAAATCATTGTAAATCGTTGTTTATCAACAAAATTGAAAATAGAAGAGATTTTGCAAATCAGCGCTCATATTTTCTCTCAAATCTACAAATCTAAACGCGAACAATTCGTGCATATTCATCTTTGTTATTCTTTCTCAACAGTAAATCTATTTAAGTAAACACTAATGTGGAGTGGGAGCCTTCAAGAGATGGAAATGGAGAAAACTCTTTGTGGTTTCATTTTGAAGATGTTTGGTCCATATTTTAAAACAGTCAAATTGGTCTACTTTTTCTTAAAAAATTATTACATTTTAAAAGTTAATTATTGACACATGAACAACGTGTGTCAAGAGACATGTAAACACTTCATATGCCTTAATCGTGTTTGCACATGAAACAAAATTTAACACTTTTAAATAGATGAGATAAATTTATTACTTTTTAAAATTAGGAGATTAAACATAATCAAAGCTTTAAGTAAAAATCAATTTTTATTTTGCCTTATAGTTAAGGGATTAAATGTTTTTACTTAAAACCAATCAACCTTTTTTTCCCCGGAACAAAATTAAATTTAAATCTTAGAAGAATTAATTTTTGAACGAATAACATAAAATTAATTTTGAAGTTTTAAAATGATTTTGCTAAATTAATGATAATAATATTTTTTAAATGATTGATATAGTATTCCCTTCATTAAAAATACGTATCCATGAAGACAGCGAAACTGAGAGTGGCTAAAGCAAAAGAAGATTGAGGGATGGAATATGCCACTTCAATGCAAAAACGATGCTTTTCACGTCCCTAATCATCGTCAAACAAAACCACGAACTAGATTAACTCCCACATCCAATATCAAAATCTGAATCCGAACCCGAATTCGAATCGAAATCCACCCAACCACCATGATTTCCGATCATGGCACAGTCCCCTTCTTCCTCTGCTTCTTCATCTTCCTCCACTTCCACTTCCCCGGCGTCCACTCCAAACCCTACCTCTCCGCCACCCCCACCACACTTTCCAAATCTGGCGACTTCGTCCACCTCCAATGGTCCGGCGTCGAAGGCCCTTCCGACTACGATTTCCTAGCCATCTACTCTCCTCCGACTTCTCCCCACGACAACTTCGTCGGCTACCGATTCCTCTCCGAATCCCCCACTTGGGAATCCGGGTCGGGCAACATCTCCTTCCCTCTCGTTGACCTCCGCTCCAACTACTCTTTCCGAATTTTCCGCTGGACCCGATCCGAAATCAACCCCAAGCGCAAGGACCACGACAACAACCCTCTGCCCTCCACGCGCCGCCTCCTGGCGTTCTCCGGCGAGGTTGCCTTTGCGCCGAACCGGGGCCCCGGACAGATCCACCTGGCCTTCGGGGACCAACCCGACGCCATGCGCGTCATGTACGTCACGCCCAACCCCCACGAGACCTACGTGCGCTACGGGGAAAAGGAGGACGCGCTCGACACCGTCGTACTCGCACGTGTGGAGCGCTATGAGAGGGACCACATGTGCGACGCGCCCGCCAACTCCAGTGTTGGGTGGAGAGACCCTGGTTATATCCACAACGCGCTTCTTACGGATTTGAAGAAGGGACACATTTATTATTACAAGGTACGTGATTTTTAAGGTATACACGAAAGTGCCACAGTTTAAGTTCCTTTAAGTTGTCTAACAAAATAACATAAACACGCTTTGGTCTCTGAAACTTCATCGCTTAGTATCAAATTGATCTTCAAAAATAGAGCTTAATGATCTGATGATTCCGTACAACTTAATCAAATAAAAGTACTCCTACTTTTTATTTATTTACTCACAAGGTTTAAGACTCCGGTCTTATGATACTCTTGCATTGGAGTATACTGAAATAAATGGAAGAATAAATAATACGTGCTCTGGTAGTGCAGAGGTTTTCTTATACCAACATTCAAATTTTGATCATATTGAAAAAATTGTTATGATTGATAAATTTGCCAACTTCATAATTTTTTCTTTAAAAATTAGAGATTAACTTTTATACACTGTTGGCGTAAATATGTTCAGCTATCTATCAATTAGAAATCATATTAAGTGTATAGATTTTGAAATTATTATTGTATTAACCAATGAATTTATCATTCGAGACAATTTCTAATTGGTCGATATTGGAAATACCGTCAATGTACATATTATTTTTTCTGAAGTGTATATATGATCTTATATTAATTAAGTTGTTAAAACTTTTACATTGAATGAACATATCTATTTAGCTCAAACTAAATACTCTTTTAAAAAGAGTAATCCTAAGAGTAATGGTAGGATTACACACTTTATATTTATTTGACACACATTATAAGGGTAAAATAGTCATAAAAAATGAACTTTTGAATTATTGTTAAGAAAGAAGAAAGTAAAAAAATAAGAAATGATAGTGTTGAATGAATCTAATAATTTTATGTGTGTCAAAGTATCATTTTACTAAGTCATTACTTTTCATGGTTACACTGGTGAATGAGATTTTATTTGATAAAAAGAATATGGAATACTTGCTTAGGACAGTTTTGCTGACGCCCAAGTCAGGTATTAATTTTTCTTTTGGTAGTACTAAACTGTCTGGTGTTAGTCAATTTCACGAACAAAATTGATGTTTTGCTCACAAACAGTGAGCCCATGAATGGAGAAATGTTAAGATATTAACTGTTTAGAATTGATATGTTCCAGGTTGGAAATGATAATGGAGGTTGGTCTGCAACTCACAGTTTTGTCTCGAGGAATAGTGATTCAGATGAAACAATAGCTTTCCTATTTGGTGACATGGGAACAAGTGTACCATATAATACGTTTGTGCGAACACAGGATGAAAGCGTATCAACCATGAAGTGGATCCTCCGTGATGTTGAAGCTCTAGGTGACAAGCCAGCCTTTATATCTCACATTGGAGACATTAGCTATGCAAGAGGTTATTCGTGGTTGTGGGACCATTTTTTCAGCCAGATTGAGCCTGTTGCGTCCAAAGTGGCATACCATGTTTGCATTGGCAATCATGAGTATGATTGGCCTTTGCAGCCGTGGAAACCTGATTGGGCCACTTATGGAAAAGATGGGGGCGGTGAGTGTGGTGTGCCTTACAGTTTGAGATTCAACATGCCTGGAAACTCTTCAGAACCGACTGGAACTGAAGCCCCGCCAACTAGGAATCTTTATTATTCATTTGATATGGGAGCAGTACACTTTGTGTATATTTCCACGGAGACTAATTTCCTCCCTGGGAGCAACCAGTACAACTTCTTGAAGCATGATCTGGAATCAGTTGACAGGAACAAAACTCCTTTTGTGGTAGTGCAAGGGCACAGACCCATGTATACTACCAGTCATGAAAATAGGGATGCTGCTTTAAGAGGGAAGATGCTGGAGCATTTGGAACCTCTGTTTGTGAATAACAAGGTCTCACTTGCTCTTTGGGGTCATGTTCATCGATATGAGAGATTTTGTGCACTGAATAACTTCACATGTGGTGGTAATGTGGGTCAGAGCACAGGGGACAAGAAAGCATACACTGTTCATATTGTGATTGGCATGGCAGGGCAAGATTGGCAACCTACCTGGGAACCAAGGCCAGACCATCCGAATGACCCAATCTTTCCACAGCCGAATTGGTCCCTGTACCGTGGGGGTGAGTTTGGGTACACAAGACTGGTGGCTTCAAAGCAGAAGCTTGTGCTTTCTTATGTCGGAAACCATGACGGTATAGTGCATGACATGGTGGAAATTCTGGCATCTGGGGAAGTTGTCAGTGGTAATGGAGACTGTAGTATTGATGCTAACTCTAAAGCTGAAAATGTTATTGTGGAGTCCACTTTGTCATGGTATGTGAAGGGAGGAAGTGTGCTATTTCTTGGGGCATTCATGGGTTACGTTCTTGGTTTCGTCACAAGTGCCAGGAAGAAGTCTGAGGAGGCCAGGAGCAATTGGACTCCAGTGAAGACTACGGAGACTTGAACTATTTATTAATGGTTACCACCTTTTCAAATAGGTCGTGAAGGTTCACATAAAAGGAAAACAAAATGAGATATCCACTCGTTTTTGTTCAAGGCTATTAAGTTGTCACCTCATACTTGAGGACATGTATTTGTATATATGTATTCTTTCTTGCTTATTTATGGCATCTGAGGCCTTTCGTATGACCTTGTGCTGTACATTATTCAAGGTAATATGATTTGTCGGATGAGACCATACTCTTGTAACAGAACAAGTGTTAGATATGAGTGCACTATTGATACACTAAATGAGATTTCCACTCGTTTTTGTTCAAGACCATTAAGTTGTCACCTCATTTACTTGAGGACATGTCTTTGTATATATGCATTTTTTTTCTTGATTATTTATGGTATCTGAGGCCTTTCGTATGACCTTATTCAAGGTAATATGATTTGTCGGATGAGACTATACTGTTTGTAACAGAACAAAAGTGTTAGATATGAGTGCACTATTGATACGCTAACTTTAATGTCGGAATAGGAATTGCCCAATTTGATCTATAAATTTTGAATGTCAGTTGTTTTTTGATACACAAACTTGGAAAGGAGAGATGGTTGCCCCTCTTGAAAGGCAAGCAAGCTGGTTTCATTGAACATACAAGATACTTTTACTCAACTCCTCAACTAAGAAAATTTTCTAGATTCAAACTCGAATCAATTGTTTATTATGGGCACATAGCACAGTGATGAGCCCAATCTATTTTGTCATGTGTAGGATTTTAAGTCAGGGTTAGAAAAGTAGCAATATTGTGTTGCTGTACAAGTGGTCATATTCGGACAAGGAATGAACGTGCTATACCAAAATGTGGACAAAACTTACTGAAAAAAATCTGAATGTGTAAGGCAGAAATATCACATGGGTAATTTGGTCATTAACTGTTTCGTTCATATGCCAGTTTAATAACATGATTCTTGATCATGAAAGGAAGAAGGAGGACCAACCAACCAGTGTCACAAAAGAGATCGGGGATAGCGACACTATTTTTGCTCGTGTTCAAAATCAGAGAGTACAGTCTACAGATGCCAAGATATTGAAGATAAGAAGACAGACAAACACACATAAACATTTCCTCTTTCACTCTTTTTTTTTGTCTTCCTAAGCAGCATGCATGAACATTATTTCTGTGCTGCTTGTTGCTATTTTCTTGGACAAGCTTAAGCACTGATTTGAAAAAACCTTGCACCAATGGCCGCTCTACCCTTCTCAACGACCTGCAGGCATTCCAGCTCACCTTTACATCACAATTCAAAATCAAGCTTCATAGGTTTCAGTCAAAGAAACAATATTTGGCAGTTGTTTGTCATCACAAAGTCAATTTCCAGAAAGTCAATAAGAAAACTCTCTGTGAAGAATGTTGCCAGCGACGAGAAGCAGGAACTGAAAGATCCACTTGCCAAACGAGGTCGCTTGCTTGCTTGCATTTTCGATTACTTTATCACTGTATTTCTTTAGTTTTTGTTCTAGTGTATAATTCGGAAATTCATGTTTAATTCTCTTGGTTATATATTTTTCAGTTAGCTTTGTAAGATGTTAGTTTTGGGGAAAATATTGTATGAAGTATTAAGTGGTGCACCATGACCATGTTCAACGGTAACACTGTTCGAGTATATATCAAATTAAACTGTCAATGCATATAATAGCTGACCTAAACAGTGGCTTCTTATGATGGTTACTATAACACTTTTAGGAGTTAGGAGTTGAATTGAATCTTAAATTATCAAAGATTTTCTCCCCATCTTTATGTTTTTATTGAGCTAAAAATATGAGATTTATTAGTAATAGTCTGAACATTGTTTTTATTTTTCCTGTTAATAAGGTCCTAATTAATAATTCTTTCTTCACATTCGCAGATACTTTCTATGAATTTATTCCAGATTCTGCATCTATTGCTTCAAGCATAAAATTCCATGCCGAGTTCACCACCCCATTTTCTCCGGAGAAGTTTGAGCTCAATAAGGCTTTCTTTGCAACTGCAGAGAGTGTTCGTGATTCCCTCATCATAAATTGGAATGCAACAAATGACTACTATGAAAGGAAGAATGTCAAGCTAGCTTACTATATGTCTATGGAGTATCTACAGGTTCTTACTGGGTTTACTTTATTGAGGCAGAGGTCATTTTCATAATAAATGATTATCAATTATTAATTACAATTAATGTCTTCCGTTTCCTAACTGTTAAGGGTAGGGCATTGCTAAATGCAATTGGGAATTTACAGCTCTTGGGTCCTTACGCCGAGGCTCTCACAAAGTTGGGTCACAATTTAGAGGACGTGGCTAACAAGGTTTATTTATATTACAATTTTCTTCTCTAGTTAGAAACTATAAAGTGATTTAATTTTATTTTTGACTTAGTCGTACAGGTAGCAAGTTAAGCAGAACTAATACTATTTTGTCCATTTCACAAAATTGTTATCTATTATCTTGCGGACTAATAGATTCATATTTGATTCTCAAAATCATTGAGATTATTTGGAAAATATTGTTAGCTTTAGAATGTGGATTTGGACTTAATTCAAGGCTACAAAATCAGCTTATAAAATTAAGTTTGCACTCTACTAATGTGCTAAAGGCAAACCCACATGAGAGACTTGACACCATGTCCAACCCATAACCCAAACTCTTAAAGACAATAGATTTATGGGTCTTCTTCTTTATGTGGTGCTTAAATTTTTCATTTTTTACTCAATTTGGGACTTATACTTACACTTGGAAGGGAGGGTGGGAGAGGGTGTGAGTTCAACTCCCCTACTAACATTTGTGAGTTATAAGGTTGGTTTGGTGGGTTTTGAAGTGAGGGTGGGAAAGGATATGGGTTCAATTCCCCCCACTAATATAATAATAACAACTAACATTTGCTGATAAAAAAAACTTGGATTTTCACCAACATTTTCCCTAAGTGAAAGCCTTTTTTATTCATGAGTATTTGATGATAACCTTTAGAGCTTAGCTATGACTACTATTGGATACAGTAAAACTAGGTATAGAATTAATCTCCTTTGTGTAGAAAATACATATAGAGTAATGTATTTATAAGAATGAGAATGTGGGCTAAGCCCAAATATAAATGAATATGTAAGAATAACATGACTATGTTTCCCTAATTAACATAAAACAATATATATCTAATACTCCCCCTCAATTCCACAAAAACAGCTTGAAAATTGAGGTTGCACTTACTTATATAGTATGAATTGACCTTATCTCTAGTTGAGATGAGACTTCCAAGACTCCCGCACGCCGAGGTATATACATTTTGAGCATAGAACTTGACATTAATGGGTGGTCTGGTAGTGGATAGAATAATATACCCAACAACAACAAATCTCGCTAGGATAGACTAACAATGACTCTGATACCATATTGAATATAGTAAAACTACGTATAAGATTAATCTCTCTTGTGTATAAAATACATATAGAGTAATATATTTATAAGAATGTGGGCTAAGCCCAAATACAAATGAATATGTAAAAATAACATAATTAACATAGGTATGTAAAAATAACATAATTAAATAGAGACTATGTTTCTCTAATTAACATAAAACGCAATATATCTAACAATCTCCATATATAGATCCACTCTTAGGAAGAGTTTGACAGAAAGAATACTCATATCTGGATTCCTTGCCAATTCCGTTAATCTTAGTTGGTCATGTGGTCGAGTCATCAACCTTAATACCATCTTAAAATGTAGATTCGGGCTTAACTTCACCTCACGGAATAAGTTTGCAAGGCACTTTTGCACTTTACTTATCTACCATATTTTAGAAATACCACTAGTTGATGTTATACTAAACCACTACTTTTGAGGTTGCAATTATGGCAACCCCAAAGAGGTGGCAACTAAGGTGGGTAGGACTGACCTCAATTAAACAAGTAATCAAGTTTACCAGTAAAATCCATTTTTCTTTTATTGAATCAAACTCCTAAGACTAAGATAAACTATGCAAGACCACATAATCCTTCAGGAGCTACATTCTTATGTACATACTTTAAATAATTGAGTAAAGCTTCATTAAATGCAATTCATGTAAAATCCGCAGGAGCCAGATGCTGCCCTTGGGAATGGTGGATTAGGTCGGCTTGCTTCTTGCTTTCTCGACTCCTTGGCCACTTTGAATTACCCTGCATGGGGATATGGACTTAGGTACAAGTATGGTTTATTCAAACAACATATAACAAGGGATGGACAGGTCGAAGTTGCTGAAAACTGGCTTGAGGTATATTTTATATGCATGGTTTCATAGTTAATGGCTTGAAGCTACTTTTCATATTAGGTTGGGCATGCACTGTTCTTTAGTTGTTTTGTTACTCTTTTGGGTGATTCAGTTGCTACATTAGCAAGTAAGAAGTTCTTTTGTTGATTCATTGACCGATTTGTGTCTATGCAGATGGGAAATCCCTGGGAAATTCTGAGAAATGATGTCACTTATCCTGTTAAATTCTATGGAGAAGTTATACCAGGGCCAAATGGAAGTAAACAGTGGGTTGGAGGAGAAAATATATTGGCTGTTGCTTATGATGTTCCTATTCCAGGATACAAAACAAGAACAACTATAAACTTGCGATTGTGGTCCACAAAAGTTTCACAGGAAGAATTTGATTTGCAAGCTTTTAATTCTGGAGATCATGCTAAAGCATATGCTGTTTTGAAGAATGCAGAAAAGGTCTAACCTTTGGAATATTGTGACTGTTGGATGAACAAATGTCTAGTTTCTCCATGTTACAAATTGAACTTGCACCTTTTCATGACTAAGTGTTATATAAACTTCTTTGTATTAGCACTAACTTCAGTTGACTGTGTGCATAAATCACAACATTATGCTCACTTTTTTCAATGTTATTTTTCAAGCAGATCTGCTACGTTCTGTACCCTGGTGATGAATCAATAGAAGGAAAGACTCTGAGACTGAAGCAACAATACACACTGTGCTCTGCCTCTCTCCAGGATATCATAGCACGCTTTGAAAAGAGATCAGGAAAGAGAGTAAATTGGGACACTCTCCCAGATAAAGTGGTGGTGCAAATGAATGATACTCACCCAACTCTCTGCATTCCTGAGCTAATTAGGATATTGATGGATGTCAAGGGTTTAAGTTGGGAGAAAGCCTGGAATATTACCAAGAGGTACTTCCTTTTGCAAAACCTGTGTCTTCACCTTGTATTTAGAAGATATAAAGCCATTGTTGAGATATCAGCTAATATCTTGGTCGCTTGGTAGTGTAGGTCTTTAAAATGATATTAGATCCCACATTTCAATTCTTTCCATCCGTTTGTGTTGAATTTCAGCAA